GGCTGCCGGGGGGCGGGGGCGCCCCTCCCACCCCGCGAGCGCGCTGGAGACTGCTTGCCTTCCCCCGCGCCCCGCGCTCCGATCGGGGACCCCCCCCGAGGCAGGGGGCTGTTGGGAGGGGGCGTCGTGTTTTATTTTTTTTGGGGGAGGGGGGAGGGCCGTGGAGTTTTTTTGCAGTTTTGAGATGTTTTCTTTTTAATGTTTTGCTGTGTGCATGTGGGGGCGGGGCGGGGGGGAGGGAGGGACTCCCAGCCCAGCCCAACTCCTGGAGAGGGGCCCATAACACACGAATATATAGTTATACCTACAAACTATATATATGCCCTATGTAAAGAGGCAGAAAGGTAAAGAGAAGGCTTGCAGAAAGGCAAAGTAACAAGGAATGGACGTGGGCATTCATTCACTTTCTCATTCATTATTCCACAAGGGTTTATTGAGTGCCTGTTGTGTACCAGGAAGGTACTGGGGAGGGAACATAACGGGCACAGAGAGTGACTCGTTCATTCATTATCCGAAATTTATTTGTATACTTAAGCACGAGGCATTGTGCTGGATGCTGAGCCTACAGAAGGAAGGCAGACAGACAGGGTTCCCCAATGTCATCATTGAGTTTGCATCTTGTGCAAGAGACAGGCATTAATCAAAGAACTGTATATACGAACAGTAAGTTACGGTTAGAACACAGGAGAAATCTGAAATGCTCTGTTAGGGAGGTGTAACCCAGTTTAAAAGGAAAGAATATTTTAGCTGACATTGAAAAGATGACAAGACACCAGCCGGTGAAGCTGGGGGAAGTGTCTCAGCCAGGGAGCAGCATATGCAAAGGCCCTGGGGCAGGAAGAGCTTCCAGGGAGGGCTAAGGTGTAGTGAGCCAGGTGCAGATGGGACAAGACAAAGCTGGAGATGTAGACAGAGCCAGACTGCCCAGGGACTCGTAGGTTAGGTCAGGAGTTTGGATTTCATTCTGAGGGCAGCAGGAAGCCATGGAATGGCTTTAAGCAGGAGCATAATGTGAATAGGGCACAAAAGGGAGGCAGGAAATCAAAGAGGAGAGTGAGGCAGAGGCAGGCTGAAATTCAGCATCAAACACAGGCAGTGGCCCTTGAAACTCACATTCCTGGGAGGAAGCAAGTAATCACACAAAATCCTAAAGCACAGGCAGGGTGTCTGGTGTGCAAGAGAAGCTTTGTGGGACTTAGACATTTGTGTTTCTTTCATTCATTAATTCAGCCATTCACTCGTTGACATTTCTTTGCCTCTGCTAACATACCAGGCAGTGTGTTATAGGATCAGGATCCCCCGAAATGAAACAGATCCTACCCCTGCTGTCGAGGAGGAGTCGCCAAAAACTGTAATCCAAGGAGGGCGATTGGTGTTGTGACAGGGACCATGACGGGCACCTTGAACCGAGCTCCAGCAGTGGGCTGTACTCAGGGAAACTTCCTGGAGAACCTAATGCCCAGCCTAAGTTTAAAAAGGATGCGTAGGAACCTGTCAAGCGATGAAGGGAGTGACTCAGGCAAAGGCCACGGGGAGTGACATAGCGTGCTGTCTTTGGGACGGGGTTCAAAGTTCTGGGATGCTGGAGGACAGGGTTGGGGTGGGAGGTCAGGTCAGAGAAGCAGCTAGATAGCCAGAGTTGAAAGGTACTGGAGTTCCAGGAGGAGGAGTTTGGGCTTTATTCTGAGGGTAGTGAGGAGAGACGGGAGAGTTTTGAGCAGCAGAAGTCCAGGACCAGATGTGAGTGTTAGAAGGAGCCACTGGGGGGAAGTGGTGAACAGGAGGCTGATGCTGTGGGATAGGGGAGAAGAGGGTGTCAGGTGAGCTGAGCAAGGGCTGTGGGGGTGGAGGGGGATGGATTTGAAGGCCACTGAGCATGCAGAAGGGACGTTGCTTAGTGCATGTCCCTTCATCTGCTCAGTAAATATTGCCTGTGTGCCTGATGTGCTGGGGTTTGGAGATGCTCCAGACCCTGCCCTGCCCTCTAGGGCTCCCAGTCTGGTGGGAAGACAGCCTCGGACACAGATGGCGAGGAAGTGGTTATTGGTGGTGCCCAGGGGCTTCGGCAGCCTCTGTCCTGATGATATGAGGCAGCAGGAGGGATGGAATCAGACTGGGAGTTGGGAGTTCCCCTCAGGGGCCCTGTGGGTGGACTAGAAAAAGGGAGAGCCTGGAGGGCAGGGGACCAGGGAGGAATTCCCTGGAGGCAGTTTCAGGGAGAGTGGATAGAAAATGTGGGGGAAGGATTACAAAACAGGAGCACGGGGTGTAGGGAAGCTAAATGGAGAGACAGGACAGGGAGAGGCAGAGTCAGAAGAGACAAGTTGGGAAGGGGGGGATTCTTTGGTGGAGGAGGGGGTAGAACTGGTTGGGGGAAGTGGATTCTAGAGTCCAAAGGCCCCGTATAGAGCAAGAAAGAGGGGGGATGGGGAGGAGTGGAGAGATGGGGGAGGGGGTAAGGATGAGGATGTAAGAGGGTGAGTGAGGGTGAGTCACAGAGACAGGGAAAGTTGAAGACACTGAGGGTGACCCAGAGGGGACAGGAAGAGGGGCAGAGTGCACAAGTCGGAGGAGGGATGTCTCAGAGACACACAAAACTACACAGAGACGGAGAGGTGGAACCACAGAGAAAGATCCAGAGATCTGCCCAGAAGCAAGCGTGGAGACTCGAAAGCAAGCACAGCAGACAGGATAGGAATGACCCACTTCTTCCATGTCCAGGATTAGTATGCAAGAAGTATTGAGTGCCAACCCGTTCTGGACCCAGGCGAGGCCCAAGGAATGTGGTGGGCGGATGGTCAATGTCCTGCTCTCCTGGATCCCCAGGAGAGACAAATGATAAACACTGCAGTTACTGAGAAGTGCTTTAACCCTAAGCAGGATGTGGTGACGTGATAGTGATGGGACACAGCTGACTTCAGACGAGGGGCCCCGAGGAGACCTCACTGCAGTGTTGACATCTGAACAGATACGGGACTCGTCACGAGGAGAGGGGACAGGACAAGCATTCAGGCCACCCGAGGCAGCCCAGAAGCTCCAGGAGTCACAGGTTTGGGAGGAGGCCCCGTGGCAGGCAGATTAATAGGGGTGAGCAACATTGGGGCAAGGTCAGAGCGTAGGCTGGGTGCCCATCCTGCAGTCCTGGGAAGAAATTTGCATTTTTCTACACTTCCTGTGAAACCTTTGGAGGGTTTTGAGCACAGGCATGACATATTTTTTATTTTTGACAACAACAAAATAACAGAACTGCACGGTTGTGCTGAGACTAGATTAGGAGTGAAGAGTGGAGACGAAGAGCTAGGGGCTGCTGTCCTTGTCCGGTCGAGACCGACAGTGGCCTGGACCAGAGTGGAGTCCGTGAGGATGGAGAGAAATGGAGGACCGGGTCTGGGAGTTTGGAGGCAGAGCCGACAGCAGTGGTGAGCGGAGCATAGGTAGCAGGATGCAGGGTGAGAAGCCAGAGGGACACAAAGAGGAACTCTTAATCGGGCTTGTGCAGCACCGAGTGGTGGTGTGTTGCCTGGAAGGGGCTCCCAGAACAAGGAATTGGGATTTGGGTGGGAGGGACCAAGCGTCCTCCTTCAGAAATGTCAAGTTGGAGATGCCTGCCAGAAACCCAAGTCAGGGTATCTGGTAACCCGTTGGATATGTGAGCTTCAGAGAGAAGTCATGGCTGGAAATATAAGTTTTTGGAAACGTCAGCATATAGGAGACATTGAAAGTCACAGGCCTGGACGGGGTGACCCAGAGGGAGGATGCCGACAGAGAAGTGACCTTGGCTAGAGCCTCAGGGACATCTGTGTCGGGGGAGAAGAGGATGTAGCAAAGGGAGCCACAGGGGGTCACCACAGGGTAGGCAGAGGCCAGGAGGAAGTGGCCAGCAGGGCTGAGAGCTGCAGAGAGAGCCCAAGAGCCAGAGGACAGGGGTCATTTCAGGGCAATGGTAGAGACCAGAGCCCTGCTTGTGTGGAAGGAGAAAGAAAAGGGGCACGCCGTCTTTTTAGCGTGAAAATAACAAGAGCTTTCATACCAAAGACAGTCCATACTCTTTCTGGGAAAAGAGAGCAAGGGGAGGGAAGACAGAACCACGCACTCTGAAGTCACTTAGCGCAGGTGAGATGCAGAACCGGTGGGCGACCGGGCCGGGAGGGGAAGATGGAGTCAGAGGACAGGCAGGTGCTGCAGGGGGCCATGTCTGCCAGAATGCTCTGGTTCCCCTCTGGGTCCTGTCAGGGCTGGGGAAGGAGAGAACAGGTGTCACTCATTGAAGAAGGGGTCCCAGGCCTTCCAGGAGCCTGGCTGCACAATCTCACAGCTTGCTGGTAGCGAGGCCGGTTAGAACGCAGAGGGAGTCGCGCCCTGATGGGGGCACCTTCCCCTTGCGTGGGAGGACATGTCTGTGTGTCACATCTCACTTCATCCATCCGTCCATCCTTCTAAGTCACCTGATGCCCATCTCCCAAGGCCTCCTGTGTGCCCAGTCCTGGGCTGGGCGGTGTTGAGGACAAAGATGAGTTCCTCCTGTACCCCGGCCTTGCCCCAGGCTGGTGGGACAGCTGGACACACAGAGTCACATTCCAGAGCAACTCGTGTTCCAAGGCAAGCCAAGCCGCACAGGGGGCTGTGCACGTCCACAGCAGGGTGGACAGACAGGGCCAGGGCGCTCCAGAGCAGCCAACCACGGACAAGGAGGTGGTGCAAGGTGGGTCCCACCTGGCCCGTCTGCACAGGGCTGAGGGAGGGGGTGAAGGGGTGAAGATCAGGCCCTGCTGCCATTCCACATGGCTGTCCCTGTCCCTGCCCCCGGGGGAGCTGAAACTGCATGGAAGGTCCCCTGGGGGCGCCCGTCTAATAAACTCGATGGCGAGGACTGTGGCTCTGGTTCCAGTACCCTGACACCCAGCCTCTCCCTGAGGCCTGGCCCTGCGCCCCTGGGGAGCTGAAGGCACCAGCATCAGACGCGCGCTCGCATCCGCCACGACCCAGGGGTCTGGGCTCAGTCTTCTGTCCCGGGGGTTCAGGCTCCCAGGCCCTCCTCCCTCAGACACAGGGGTTCAGGGCCCCAGGCCCTCCTCCCTCAGACACAGGGGTTCAGGGCCCCAGCCCCTCCTCCCTCAGACCCGGGAGTCCAGACCCCAGCCCCTCCTCCCTCAGACCCGGGAGTCCAGGCCCCAGTCCCCTCCTCCCTCAGACCTAGGAGTCCAGGCCCCAG